TCCACTCGGAGAACGTTCAGATGGAGAGCGGGAACCCTAGAGAGATGGGGAAGAGGGGGTAGGTATGAAATGTGTACAGATAAAATATCGTTCAAAGAGGAGAAAGAATGAGAGGAAGCAAGCAGAGAATCTTGAAGGAGCAAATAAGATATTTTCACAAGGAAGAGAACGCCAGAGAGATACTGCAGTGCACGGGGAAGGTGCTGGCCTACTGTGAGCTCCATTCGGAAAGCAGAACAGGAATGAACGCGGAATCAACAGCCGAGCCCAAGGCTGTGTGGGTGTGTCGTCCCTCGAACCGCCCCCCCCCCCACACACACAGGCTGGGTTTGACCCTCAACACCAGACTCAAGATGGGACCAGGACCCTTACACCTCCAGGCAGGATGGGGTGGGACCCCGCACTTCTCTCTGGGCATTACTAGCAGGCTGGGGGGTGGGGGGTGGGGAGGGAAGGGCCCAAACCTGAGCTTCAGGCTCATGAAGGTGCAGGGGAAACCTGGGCCATTGCCTGGGGGAGTCCCTGGGGACTGAGGGGAGACTGGGGAGTTTGTCCATGCTGACTCCCAGGAGTGGCATACAAACAGCAGGAAGAGAAGGGAGGAAGGGGGAAGGCGAGCTGGAGAGGGTCCTGGGAGCTGGTCTTCAAAAAAAAAAAACCCTTCCGCCCCCATGGGCTTCAATATTGAAAACCCCCTAGGAGGCGCAGGCACTGTATTAATTAGTGCAACCACCCATGAAAAGTTGGGTTTGGAGCGGCATTCTTTGCCCTGTGTGAAAACCCAGTCTAATAAACAATTGTTCAGTTGGCCTGTTGCCACTGGTAAATTACATAGCATTAAAAAAATAATGCTTTTCATATTAGGCACTAATTAAAGGTTGGGGCAGCTTTAAAACAAGAGCGGGAGCAGGGGGAGGCGGGAATCAAAGAAAATATAAAAATGTTCTTTTAAGAGTTATGGGAGGTTAATAAAGTCTGTCAGTTAGAGCGAACCTACATTGCCCCTAGCTACAGCCAGGCTGGAGCCGCCACAATTGGGCCTCAATAAGATAATGATATTCCTTTCTCTGCTATTAAAAGCCTCCCAGTGCAAAGTTAAAATGATTTATTTAATTTAGGAAATTATGAGGTGTAACTTCAAAGCCCGGGCCGTTAGTAATGGAAAATACCAGGTTGTTGAAAATTATCATAATAATTGTTTGGAGGACTCGCAGGAGACATCAAAGTCTTCGCAGGCACAAATGGAGTTGGGGTCGGAGGTGGGTTGGGAGAGCAGGGTTTTGGATTTGATTAGGACCCCAGCCTTATCAGGGCAAGATTCGGGATTCCCGCAGCCGCTGCCCTCCCCACACTCCCGGGTCTGCTTTGGGAAGGGGTGGGGGGGAGGGTGTTTTGGGAAAGTCATTTTTCCTGTTTTGTATTCGCGGGGAGGCAGGCGGGAGGAGAGAAGGGGGTGCGACTTTGGTCCCGGAGCTGACAACTTTGACTTTCCTTCCTCTTGGCACTCCCGAGGCCCGAACATCACCCGAGGGGAGTCGGAGGGGGGAGCAAAGGGACTGAGTTGGATTTGGATTTTTTTCACTGACAAGCGACGGGTCACACACCCACCCCCTCCCGGCAGCGGCGGCGAAAGGACCCGGCGGCACTGGGCTCTCCAGCCCGCGGCCGGCGAGCGCCTTTCATACAGCGAGTGGCCCCGGGAGACGGATGCGGCGGACGAGGCTCTGCTCCGAACCCGCAGTCAGGCCTCCGCCGCCCACCTCCCGCCAGCCCTGCCGGCTGCAAGGAGGGATGGAGAGGAGGCAGGAAAAGGGGGTTCGGTTCAGTGGCAGATCCCCCCCAGCCGCCCAGTATTGCCAGGCGAAGGAGCGGCAGCGAAGCCTCTGCGTCCGCCCTCCTACCCAGAGAGCCGCACACACCCGCTCCAACTGCTGGGCCCACCCGGCGGCACCCGCGCTGGTCTCCGCCTGGGACCTTCCTGCCCCCCTGCTTCCAGCGAACCTTTTTATTTTTTTTTGGTCTCCCGGCTCTGGACCTCAGGGAAACTTGGAGAACAGAGATGTTCCGATTTGCCTTCTTTTTTCAGGGGGCACGGAGCAAAGCCCTGCAAGTGGGTGTACTCCCACCCCAAGCTGGTAACTCTGGTCCACCTGTGCACAGCTGCGGTCACCCAAGGCGCTTGTGACCTAGCGGCGCCTGAGCGCTGCGGTGGACACAGCGACCGGCTGGCCAGCGGGTGAGAGATGGCAAAGTCCACGGGGACTCCAGGCTCTGCTTGGGGCCCCTCCCCTCCTGCAAAAGCTTGCCTTCTGCGTCTCCCTTTCACTGGGACATTCGGGACACTCGGGACACTCGCTGGGCTCTGTCTGGATGCTTTTCCCATGCTGCCCCCAGTGCGCTTTGGGGTTCGCGACCCCCAACTCCTCACTGGGAGGCAAGACTGAGTCATCACCCAGATCCCGGCAGCATAGTCTGGGGATCCCCCCACCCTTACCCCCAAGCCGAGCTGAGATCGCCCCGGGCTGCGGGGTCCGAGCGGCGCCAGGGAAGAAAGCCAGTGGAAGGGCTAATTAGGGTCCCAACTTGGCGGGTGATGACGCAACCCAGGCGGCTTTGGCCTTCGGAAAAGGCTTATCTTCCACGAGGTGGGGCCGGCTACCTACCTGGCTGGGGCAGTCGACAGCAAGAAGGCACAGCGGAGACTGGCCTGAGTAGGGCGCAGCCAGAGAAGAAACCGGTCCCCAAATTCAAAGCATCTGAAATTCCAGCCCTGGAGTTGGGGGGGGGGGGGGGCTCTGGCCATTTTACTTGCCTCCCTCAGAACGCGGAAGGGAGCGAGGCTTTCCAGCCTTGAGTGTAGAGGAAACTTTCATCCTAGAGCTAAATCCTAGGGTTGCCCTGGTTCCACGTCTCAGGGCACTTTGCTTTGCTCTTCACACCTGCTGCGACGGTCTAACTGGGTCTGAGGCACTGATCTACTGCCCAGAAGAGCGACTGATTCTCTTAAGTATCATCATCGGGATCCACTTGGTTCACTTACGCCGCGGCAAAAACTCTGACCTTGCACTGCCTCTCACACACCCATAACCAATTTATTTTAATGGGGTTGCCTCCCAAGTCCAACCCAAAGCTTTCTAGACCCGGTTAAACACAGACTGCAAATGAAGGCGGTTCTGGAATAAAGCCCTCTGTGCCCCCCTTCAAAGCTGAGAATCTGGAGGGGTTGGGGGGTCATCTCTACACCCAACGGGTTGGTTAAGGAACTGTGAGACATTCAAGGGGTGCACACAAAGCCCAACGAGCCATGCCGCACCGTGACCCTCGTCACCCTCACTACCAACTTGTTGCTCTGGTCACCAGGGCCATTTCAAGTTCAAGATTCTCCTTTGATCATCTACAAACCACTGCAGATTCTACCCTGAGGCTCCCATCCTTCCGAACTCAAGTCTCTCAGTGTTTGACAAAAACGGTCAGTGGGTTCATTCCTCAGGACTGAGATTTTGCAAAGCACCGCTCCACTCTTTTCCACAAGGGTTCCCTTCTCCCCAGGCTGAATCTGGCCGCAATTCTTGGTTGATTCACAGGCAAATAATAATAATAAAAATCACCTGTCCACCCTCCCCATCCGATCCCAATTCCCAGTCTGGAGGTAGATTTGTCTTTAAGCCCGGCGAAGTACTGTAGAGCGCCTCTTAAAATAATTGTGAGTTTGCACAAAACTTGACTGCAATAAAACAAACATTTAATTTAACTCAGAATAAGAGATAAGAAATAACTCTTCAATAAAATATATAAAATTATACAAGGCACCCTTTCAAAGGGATAAAAGGATATGGGGGTGAAATGGGGGGGAACGGGGCTGTTTGACAATATCCCTTTCAACAAGTCAAAACATGCCTTTAACCTCTGCCCCCAACAAGTTAAAAAGTATATAATTTTTTTCTAATACGTTCAGCACATACAATAGATACACACAGAGAAAGCATGATTTTTTTCCTCATTCTGGGTCTAAATATTTAGCATATAGGTAGGCTATGGTTACAAAATAGTCCGGGTTTCTTTTTTTTTTTTTAAAGCAGGCAATTAACTACTCCTTGCCCCCAGCTCGCCCTCTATTACCTTTACAATATGTAAGGATTGACCTACCTAGTATTTCACACTTTTTGCAGTCTACTTTCAACTTCTCACTCTCCAATTATCTGCAAAGAAGTCAAGAGGGACCCCAGAGAGGAATTAGGAAGCACTCCACTTCCCCACCTTTCCTTAGGCCTTTCTGGGATTTGCTCATCTCCTCCTGTTAGGGATCTTCCAAATACAAACAAAGGTAAAATGTGTAACAATGTAGCAGAGGGAACAGGATGGAAGCCAGTGGTTCTCTAACGCACTTTTGAATGCACAAAGTGCACATTAAAATGCAAAAACCGGGAGGCCTGGAGGAAGCACCTGTACCTACTTTCTAGACATTGTAGCTAATTCTAGGATTTGTTTTCCTTTAAAAATAAAAAAATCGCATCCGCCCATCAAAATCCCAACTGCTGCAACCTTTTGCCAGCAAGATATCTCCCCCTCGTAGGAAAACCAACCGGCTTTCAGCTATCCTTATATTTTAAATCTTATATCTTAAAGACTTTTTAAAAAGGGGTGAGGGGGAGAGCTAGAAATAAATTTTATACATATATATATGCTTCACTTTTCCAAAGAATTTGAACGTTGACGTCAGCTGTATAAAAACAGTATTCATTTATATGTATCACTGGAGACAATCTTTGCGTGAGGAAGGAGGCAGTGGAAGTTGACACCAAGAAAAAGGGCCTTGAATGCCTGCCGTCTAAAAACTGGTTTTTGGAGCAATGACCGGATGGCCGGGGTTGGCCTGGGGCGCGTGCTGCGTGGTGTTTGCACATGCACCCACGCAAGGGCGAGCACACGAACACATGAGCACACGCCGGCGTGAGTCCGGAGCGGGTCCTGCCAGCTGGGCCGCGGCAAGGGGCGGCTTTCTAGGAGAGATGGTACATGCCATAGCCCACGGGGGTCGTGTAGAGTCCGACGGGCGGGATGGGCAGCACAGGTCTATGGAAAGGGTAAGAGGCCCCGTAGAGGGAAGCTTGCAGCGGCGGGTTGATGGGGAAGGGGAGGCTGAACCCCGAGGGCAGCATGGGTTTCGCCGCCATTTTCAGCTTCTCCAGTTCCGCCTCCTGCAGTCTTTTTGCCTTGGCCCTGCGGTTCTGGAACCAGATTTTGACCTGGGTCTCTGTGAGGTTCAGGGAGCTGGAGAACTCGGCCCGTTCGGCAATGGACAGATACTGTTTCTGGCGGAATTTGCGCTCCAGTGCCAGGAGCTGCGACGTGGTGAACGGGGTGCGGGGCTTGCGGTTGGTCTTGTGCTTCCTCAAGGTGCAGGTGGTGGGGCTCAGGTGTCCTGGAGAACAGAGGGGGGAGGGAGGGGGGTTAGCACAGCAAAGGGAGGTCGGTCCTGACCTCTTCCTCCTTGTCTGCATCTGGATGGCTCCAGTGCTCTCTTGAAAACGGGAGCCCTTTCCCTGACAAGCTGGGGGACTGAAATGGTAGACTACAGCCAGAAGTCCTCGAACTTTCTAAATAGCAACGGCCACTAGGAGAGCCGCAGGCTTCTTGGAGAAAGAAAACTTCTGAGCGGAAATTGCTCTTCTTGAAATAAGGACTGGGGTGCACACTCATCTCCTCCCCACCCCCAGGCTGGATCTGCAGCAAAGCAGACAAGGGTCCCTGAAACTAGGTCGGTTCCCCTCTCCAGACCAGGAAAAATGGACTCATCTCCTCTCCGAGCTCAGGAGTACAGCGCGGCTGGCAGCCACAATGTCACTAGGTAAACAGCCCCTCAACTGTCATTCCGAAGCCATCCGGATGAGAGGACCCCAGTGGGCAAAGCCCTTTCACTAGTTGCTAGGACAGGCTGACGTCTCCAGGCCGGGTGGTGGGGGCGGGGCAGGGCGGGGGTCTTATAAACTTGATTAAGGAGGAGGGGGAAAGTCCCACTGGCCCATAAACGTAAAAAATCCCAAACAGCAAAAACCAACTCTGGGTCTCTCTGGAAAGGAAGGCACGAGACGGCAAGGGAGCCACGGCTGGTTCTGCGAGGGCTCGGATCGAACGTAGACCTGAGTCCTTGGTCACAGCATTTAGAAAGAGTTCATTAATCACCAGCCAACTAAAAGGCACGCTGTCCAGACTCCATATTTAAAACGGATCCAATTATAGTGCCGGCACTGGCTAGCTTTGTGAACGCCGGGCGTCAGCTCACACGGGGCTTCTCTTCCTTCCTCCAGGGGAGGTGATGGGGGAAGGCGTGGGGGGGGGCACGCTAAACAATTAATTTTCTGCATTTGGCTTTTATGGGCTATGCTAATTTCCCCAACGCAGCCACAAAAATAACTCCAAACTCCTCACAGGGAGAATGTCGCATTTCTTGTTTAGTTACTTTGGTGGCCTGGGAGAGAAGTTTACAATTCAGACTTGTGGGTGACACAAGTCCCAACCCGGCCTCCATTTAAGGGCGAAAAGGGTAAGGAGTCCCCCAGTGGGGCACCCAGAAGCCATCACTCCCTCCCTCTTTAGTGTCAGAGAAGGGAGGGGTCAATAATTAATCAAAAACCAAAGAAATTTACAAGAAAAAACCCCCATTCCCAGAGGGTTACTTTTGCATATGCTAATCCCTAAGTAAACCCCAAAGTCGGGCGCCGGCTCCTTCATTTACAAATAAGAGATTGATCAACACCGTCTGGTCTGGCAGACTCGCGAATTCTCCAGCCCCCAGCTGAGGAAGAGAAGAGCCGCCGCGCTTCCAAGAGCACTGGGACACCAGCGTCTGTCTTGGAATTCTGAAATGTGGGTGCGTCCATCGCCACCCCAAGATGCGCCCTTCCAGTGAGCCACTCCGTCTCTGCCCCCTCCCCAATTTTCAAGCCAGTCGAGGAAGGATGCGATTATACAAAGCAAAACAACATTTATCCTACTTCCTCCGAATAACAAAACTGGGCCCTTGGCGGTGGCTCCTTCCCACAGCCCCAGGCGCCTTCACCTGTCGTTCCCTGAACCCACATTTCTAGGTCCAGCCTCCAGGCCCCACTGATGACCCCCCTTTTTCTCTGCCTGAACTTGGTTTTATTTTTTTGCTCCAAGGGCCAAGGCTGCTTCTAACCCATCAATTCAAGCCACCTCTTCTCAAGTCTTCGTGGCAGAGAGGTTTACAAAGCACGATGGGGGTGGGGGGGGACCCAGAGGCAGGCCTAAAGACGTAGGGGAGTCTGATCTTTGTGCCCCCAGACCCTCAAGACCAGAATCCTTGAATGGACTTGAATGCCAGTACTTGTCCTGGCATATGAATATGCCATATGAATATGCAGCCCTCCAGCCCTTTTGTCAAACAGTAGGACCTCTAGTTTACCATCCAGAAAATAGTTCTTTTTCTGGTCAATTCAACACCATACGTGCGCACTGCTTTTTCCCAGAATGCCCAGGGCCTTCTCAGTCACCAGATCTTTCAGTGTTTCCAAGTCGTTGCTTGTTGATTTTTTTTTTTTTTGGTCAAGCCCAAACTCGGTGGATACTCTGCTCAACTGTCCTATCTGTGGGCCCGCGGCCGACTTCTGCCACACAGAGATCTGATAAGATAATATGGTGAAAAGTCCCATAAAGCGCTGTGCAAACTGGAGTTTAAATTCTTTGAGTCCTTAATCTCCACGCCCTTTGCATCTTTCAGAGTTTCTAGCAGGGTGGGGAGAGATGCCAGAGGGGACAGCTGGTGACACTAGGGGAACTGGCCTGGCTTTTTTCACACACACACACCAAAGACGCAAAGCCTTGGCTTCAAAGAGGTCCGCAGGCCCAGGGATAGAACAGGGAACTCTACCTTTTTCTCACCTTTCCCACAGAAAGAAAGTTTCAAAACCAGGAGAGAGGAAAGGGATTTTTCAGCCCTGTTGCCAAACTGGCCACTGCAACAAGTGTTGCCTATAAAGGGCCCTAAGGCTGAAGAGAAATGAACTCCAGGGGCTTCAGCCTCGCTGGTTCGCAGGTGTCTGCAGAGACACCAAGGTCCTGGGAGGAGAATCAGGGCGCAGGCAGTGAAGCCGGGGCTGGAGTCTGGGTCCAATCTCGCCTGTCTTTCCCAAAGGTCTGAGTGTCAGCTTCTGGTCCCGGGTCCTATCTCCAATCTGGTGAACAAGGGGCATCACTTTGTAAACTCTCAAGCGCTGGAATGCTGTTAATTATGACTGGGGCCCAGCTGAACCCGCTCCCAGCGAAGCGCGATCCGCCACGGGGGGCGGGAGAGGGGGGCCTGGGGGATAGGGTCATAGCCTCCCGGTCTCTAGTTTCCGTGGGGTCCGGCGCATCCGTCACTGCAGGGGCCCCCGCGATGGGCTGATTTCGGTCCCGGTTCACACTTAACTCGCCTTTCAAAGAGTTTTCGGGGGGCGAGATGTGGGGAGGGAGGCGCGCGCTTCGCAGGACGGTGAACTTTCTTGCAAAGCGTCGAGTCGCCACCGTCACCGTGGCGCCCGGCGAGGCAGACGCTGGAGACGGTCTCCCCCCGCAACGGGGATCCCCCCTCTTTGGAGACACCCCCTGACCTGACACACAACCAGCTGGCTTCACTGGTGGGCAGTGCAGCCAACACTAAGCGGCCCCGGGGTGCGCCCCAGGGGCTGAGGATGAGAACCAGCGACAAGCGAGCGACCCCGCCAGCCGCAGAACCCCGCCCCTCCAAGAACCCCGAGTCCGCGACTGCTTGGGGACCCCCGCCCCGCTCTGACCCGCGACCGGGTCCGGGAGCCGCGCCGGCGCGGAGGTCCCGGGCCAGCGCGGTGATGCGAGCGGCGCGCCGACGCTTTCGCTCGGCTGCGGCGGTGCCAGAGCGGGGGCGGGGAGGGGGGCGCGCGTGTCTCCTCCACCCCCCGGACCCCCGGCCCGGCCACCCCGCTCCGTGCGCCGCTTCCCCGGGCCAGGCCGTGCGCGCAACTCACTGGGCGGCGGCGAGTATCTGCCCGACTCCTGCATCCACGCCGCGCCGTCCTCCGGGGTCTCCGACTTGACCAGCGGCCCGGGGCTGTGCGCGTCGCGGGCGCCGGGTCCCGGCAGCAGCAGCGGCCGCAGCGGGGCCCCGGCGCCGTCGGCCGGCAGCGGCGACGCCTCCTTGGGCGGCTTCTTGTCGGACATGAGCGCCTCCACGCTGAAGGGCAGGCTGGAGACCTTGACGCGGCGCCCCTCGGCGCCCCCCTCGGCGCCCCCCGGCCCGGGCGCCGCCGCCCGCGCCGGGCCCTCCTCGTCGGACGAAAACAGGTCACTGCCTTTGGACGGAGAAGCCATGACTTCTCTGTCCCCCGTAGCTCCCGGCGCGCGACTCCGCTGGCTGCCCGGCCGCGGCGACTCAAACTTTTTTGGGGGGGTGGAGGGGGACGCCGGGGAGGGGCGCGCCGGGAGCCGAGCCTTTCCTCCGAGGGGAAGTGGGAGGCCGGGACCAGCCAATCGGCGCCGGCTCTGGCGCTGGCGTCACGCGCGCGCGCCTCCGATTGGCTCTCGCCGAAGAGGCCAGCCCCCCTCTTTTTTTTTCCTGTTTGAAATAAATTAGGAGTTAATTACAGGAGCAGTCAGCAGAGTTGTTATTAGGCGATCCCTCCAGGGTTATAATCACGCCAAAACTGAAAAGACCAAGGCGTAATTAAGGCCGATTATTTAAAGAGGAAGTTCGCGAGTCTCTTTTGACCCCTTCTTTTTTTTTTTTTTTTAAAAAAAAAGGCAACCCCGCGCCTCGATCGCCCTACACACCCCACCGCCACCGCCACCGCCACCGCCAGAACTTGTTTAAAACCTGCCAGGGACCTTGTAGAGACATGGATGATGCGTCTACTCGATTCTCAAATTGGACACAGACTCTTGTGATCAGTCCTGGAAAACACGAGGGTCGACAAACTACTAAGGAAAAAAAAATCATAAAAAACGTGCGAGGCATCTGGTAGGGTATCCCGCCCGCCGCCGTTAGCGAGCGTCTCGAGGGGATCCGCTAGCCTGCTCGTTCCCGGATTAGAAGAGGGGCCCTGTCAGGGACCACAGGCTCCTGAAGAGTTCCAATGGGAACATTTAAACGGACGTTCCATCCCCGCCTCTACAAGCCCCCAAGGTGCGCGCTCAGCACCTGGAACAACTGCAAGTTGACTTTGCCCCAATCTCTCCTGTGGATCATTCAATTACCAGCTTTCTCTCAGAGAGCAGGCATTTGTGGGTGCCAGCACTAGTAGGAGCCTATACTTGCATGCTGCTTGGGTGCAAGGGTCTCTGTCCTAGGTGACAGAGAAAGGAGGAAACTGTGCCCAGAATATTCACACTTCCCCTGCGCAAATCGCTGAAACACCCAGTTCCAACTGTGTACAGCCCTCACCTGTGTATCTCTGTGTGTGTGTGTGTTCACGAGCACACACTGCATTTGGACGGGGAAGTTAATTTTTACTTATTGTACCTGGCCTTTTAAAAAACATCTTGCGCTGGAATCTGGAGAGAGAGTGCAGCAGGTAAGGGCACTTACTCTGCACGTGTCCAACCTGGTACCTCATATGGTCTCCTGAACATGGCCAGAAATAATTCCTGACAGTAGAGCCAGGAGTAACTCTTGACCATCTCTGGGTGTGGCCCCAAATCCAAGGGGGTGGGGGGAAGCCTGGGTATTCCCATCCCACCGTCAATTATATCCTGGGTAATTATATCTCCAAAGCCTTAGTGATGACCGCCTTGGTCCACTCAGGGAGAGAGCACTGGTCCGCCACCCCTCCGAAGCCACTGGTTCTTGACCCAGCACTTCCGATACACTCACTCCAATCTGCCCTGCTTTGTTTTTCTCTTTCTGAGCAACATCCCCCACTGGACAAGGTAAACAGTGCCTAGCAACTCAGAGCCTGGCACACAGATTACTTCTAAACAATTCCCAGAGCCCTGGAAGGAAGGACAATGTAAAGACTAAAGATGGAAGCTTCACAACTCCACAGAGCCTCAGAGACCAGATTCCCTGATTCCACTCCCCAGAGCACTTCTCCCTGTACCTTTCCTCTCCACCCTTACCCCCCCTCCAAAAAAAAATCTCTGCCTTAAGGGCCTCTTGCTCATCAGAAGAGCTACCATTTGATTTCTGAAGGATACTGGGCTGTCCATTGAGTCTGATTAGCAATGGTCCTGGAAAAGTCTCTCATACCACCTGTAAAGGTACTAACAATCAGAGTTCTTTTCTTTCTTTCTTCTTTCTTTTTTCCTCCCAGACACTGGAAGTTCAGAGTCTTTTGAAGAAACAACAACTATGAAAGCTACCTGGACATGCGTCTGTTTCCCCCTTGAGTCATGCCTGTGACAGTCTGCTTGAGATGCATCTCAAACACTTTCAGGTCAGTCCTGACTAGGTTCAAGGTATCCGGCAAAGTGCAGGCTATATATTTTGGAAGCCAACCGAAAATTCGTTCAGCCTCCAGATGCCAAAGTGTACAAGAATCTGGGCTGTACCCAACCACTGTTTTATCATCTTTCCTGAAAACTCCATGTTCCTACTGGCTCATTTTGGTGCTCATTGCGGGGAATTTTTAAAAACAAATGTATATTAACCGGAATTCTTTTATCCGAATGAACTTTTCTGAAAGAGGAAACTGTCTCTCCTGGCGACTCCTGAGTCTGAAGTCCACGCAGAGAAGAAAATTAAGATGCCTCCAAGAAGAAAATACTAGAGATTTAAAAATACCTGAATTTCAAAGCCTTGCTGCGGAGACTGTGAGAGAGAGGGGGACCAAGTCTGGCCAACATCTCCCTCCTGGGGGGAAAGCCAAGAGGCAGCGCAGGGAGACTGTAGCTGGGAGAAGGCAGGCAGACTCTTTAGGGAGAGCCCAGTGATGCCTTGGCTGGTGTGCCGAACTTTAATTCACCTTTTCCTGGCGGCCTCTGCCTCTCTTAGCCTGCTGTCTCCTTCATCCCCCAAAGAGAGCTAATGAATAACCCCTAACCTCCGCGCGGTCTGAGGGTCCACACCCCCAGCAGCCTGGAAAGTGAAGTAGAAATAAAGAGAAGAAATCGATGCAAAAAAAAAAAAAAAAGCCTCCAAAGCAGGAACCTTTTTACTGGCAGGTCACGGATACCCACAGGAGCGGCGTCGGCCCCTTCTTGGAATTTGTCTGGCCTCTGCAAAATGAATCTTGCGGTGGGGGCCGGGCATTGGGGCTAGGGTGGCCGCAGAATTTTCAGGCGGGACAAGAAGGCTCCTGGGGGGGCGGTCACCCCTTCGTGTCCGAAGAGCCTGCGGCTCGGCCCCCAGGGCCTGAGTGCCCGGGTCTGTCAATAGTCGGGAGTAGATTCGGCCCATTTCACAGACGCAGAAGCTCGAGCACGCGCTCATTTAGGGGTGGAGGGGCTCACGCAGCACATGCGCGCGCGCACGGGGGGACCCCGGCCCGCGCTTCGGAGATGGGGGGTCCCGTGCAGGGTCGCGCGGGTTGCAAGGGTGGAGGTCGCGGTGCACGCGCGTCGCCGCACCCCCTCCCCGCGCCGTGCGCTTTACGGGGGGCACCGCGGGCGCTGCCAGCCCCACGCCCGGTCGCTGGGCTGCCGGCGGCGGGGAGGAGGCGGGGGCGGGGGGCGGGGGCGCGGAGGGGGGCCCGAGACGAGCCAGGGCTGCGGGCAGGCGCCAGGCGCGGGGAGATGAAAGGCGGGCTCGGGGGAAGGGGCTGCGCCGGGTGACCGGCTCCAGCCGCGCCGGGCGCCCCGCCCCCGCGGCCCGGGGCAGAGGCGGCTGCCCGCGCCGGAGCCGCGTTAATTGCTCTGGGCCGCGGCGCTCCGCCGGCGCGGAGCCGGCACAACCTCGCTCCGGGGAGGCCCGGCCCTCGGCCCTCCCGGGACCACCGCGCTCCCGGAGGAGCGGCCCGCGCGGCCCCTGCGCCCCCGCGGGGAGCTCCGGAGCGGGCAGACACGCGGGCGCCAAGGGTCCCCTTGGATCCCCAGGACGCTGCCCACCGCCCCTCCACCCTCCACCCAGCCTTCGCGGCCCCCTCCCCGCCGCGGCTGTGTGACCTCGGGCGAGAGGCAGCTCCTCTCTGGGCTCGTTTTTCTTACCCGCGGGAGACTGGGGGTGGGGGGTGAGGCCTCTGCGTTTCCGTGCGTTTTCATTTCATTTTCCTTTCTTGGGGACGCACGAGGTCTGCTCTGGGTCTACCCCAGGACCGTGTGGTGCTGGGGTCCCACTCTGCCTGCCCCGGAGCCCCGTCTGAGAGATGCGCTCTCCTCCTGTCCCCCCCAAGAAGGCTAAGCCGGGGTTCAAGCTCAGGAACACGAAGTGTGTAGTCAGCTCCCCGTTTTAGGGATGAAGAAGTGGAGGCGCAGACGGAGGGTGGGGGGGGGACGCCTGGTTTTGTTCAGGCTTGTTCCCGACTCTGTGCTCAGGGAGCACTCCTGGTGGGGCTCAGGTGACCCTGTGAGGTGTCACGGATCAGAGCCTGGCCCCATGCGCTGCCCTATCGCTCCCTGTGCCCAGGACCCGGCCTAAAGTGGGCTGAGAGTCCCAGCAGGGCTAGAATCAGGGGAGGGTTCAGCAGAAGTGGGTGTCTGGCAATGAGGGGGTTCTGGAGGAGTCAGCGGCTGTGTGTGGGGGGGGCTGACACACCCCCGACAGTGCCCGGGAGAGAGCAGGTGCCTTCCCTGCTGCCTGAGCCACTGGCCTTTAGGTTGGCCATGGCCTTCTATAGTTCACCACCAGGTCTCTGGAACGCCGGACAGGCCAGGTGTGTGAGGTGTGACCCTCTGGTGCTGGGCTGAGGCTCCCAACCTGCTGACACCCAGGCTTTGAAGGATGGAGTCACTTAGATCCCAACTCTGGCTAAAGCCCTCGGCAGCTCCGCCCCGCAAAGTCCAACTCTACCTTCAGTCCAAGTGACCAGTATCTAATTTTTTTTAATTTTTTTTAAATTTTTTTGAATTTTTAAGTCTTCACTGATGAAGATTTAAACACTGACCTCTGTTGTGGGTTTTTTTTTTTTTTTTTTTTTTTTTTTTTTTTTGCGTTTTGGGTCACACCTGGCGATGCTCAGGGGTTACTTCTGGCTCTGCACTCAGCAATTACTCCTGGCAGTGCTCAGGGGACCATATGGGATGCTGGGATTCGAACTCGGGTAGGCCACATGCAAGGCAAACGCCCTACCCTCTGTGCTATCGCTCCAGCCCCTGTTGTGTTTTATTTAACTCTTCTTTCATTACAAAGGGTACAATGGCTATGAACTGGCAGCCAGATGCAAAGGCTTGGACTGGAGAGAGAGGTCAGCAGGTGAGGTGCCCGCCTTGCACATGGCTGGCCCTGGTTGGATGCCCAGCAC